GTTATATGTTTTCATTTCTTATTGGACAAGTCAATTAGTTACAACAATTTATCAAAGTTGCTGCTATCTAAAATTTACTTTCACTTTACAGCTGTTGGACAGTGTGATGGACAAATTTGGTGCAACAATATGTTCATTTACTCATTTGGACATGGAGTTCTCACATATGATGCAGATAACCAAATCTTACAAGTCTCTGGATAGCATTGAAGGGGCAGTTCTGAGAAATGGTGTTGGCATGAAAGCAAAGCTCTCATGGGCCATTTTACATTCCCTTCTTCATTCAGAAAGAACTACTTACCATCGGAATGGGTATGTCTGGTTAAGTGACCTGCTTATTGCAGAAATTAGTGAGGAAAGGAATACAAGCATATGGTCAAATATCAAAAGCATGCAGCAGAAAATTGCCCATGCTGGTGTTCATGATTCTGCAGTTGCTTCCGATGTTCCTTTGCCCATTTGGCTTATGTGTGGGCTTTTGAAGTCAAAGCACAACTCAATCAGATGGGGCTTTTTGTATGTTCTTGAAAGGCTTCTCATGAGGTGTAAAATTTTGTTAAATGAAAATAAAATCCAGCAATCACTTGGAAGTGATATTGGCAATACACGCAAAGACAGCCGTCTTGAGAAAGCTAATGCAGTGATAGACATCATGAGTACTGCCTTGTCCTTGGTTTTTCAGATAAACGAAACAGATCGCATCAATATATTGAAGGTAATTATTTAAGAACTAGAAAATGTCTTCACTAGATGTTACAGATGGTCTTCAGGTCCTAGAGATGCATATAATGCAAAAGCAGGAAGAGGCAACCGACCTAAATGCATATGCTTTGATTAAATGGTTTTTAACATTTTGTCTATGAATGCTACCTTTGAATTTGAATGTTTGGGAACACATAAGGTGTACCACTTCTCGAATATTTTAACAGATGGCATTGTGGGGACTCTGAAGTACTTCTCTAATTACCTTGCTGCTGGGTCAAATGAGAATGTAAAATGTTTGTTTGCGCATAATCGTACTAGTTATATGTTGAATGTTTCTTGCCCTTAATGCTAGACATTATTAGTATAATGTTGATAAGGCTTGGCATCATGACAAAGTATATTTTTATAAAAAAAGATTTACTGGCTTGGAATTCTGGCTTGGAATCAAATTTAGTTCATCTAGAGCAAATCTGTTTTCCTCAACAATATTGGAGAATTTGCTTTGGGCTGATGCAGAGTCCATTTTTATTTTCCCCTAAGGCATCATGTATGTTTCATGATTTAATGAAATTCCCTTGTGCAACTTTTGATTAGCGTAGAGTATTCTGTCTCCCTTATCTCCTATTTTTCCTGGTTTTTTTAAACAGATGTGTGACATCCTATTCTCTCAATTGTGCTTGAGAGTTCCTCTAGCAACTGCAACAGAGTTCGGAGATGATTCACAGCTTGGTAGGGTTCTTAGTTCCATGGAGGGAAATAAAAAAGTTGATGAGAAAGAAAATTCTGACCAGGATGTCCGTATGGAAGAAGCCAGTGGCAGACCTGTCTACAGTAATAACAATCGTCTTGATCATGAGACAGAATCAATGGCAGCACTGCTTCTTCGAGGACATGCCATAGTTCCCATGCAATTGGTTACACGTGTTCCAGCTGCTTTGTTCTATTGGCCATTGATTCAACTTGCTGGTGCAGCAACGGACAACATTGCGTTGGGTATAGCTGTTGGAAGCAAAGGAAGAGGGAACCTTCCTGGTGCCACATCTGACATACGAGCTACCCTTCTGTTACTTCTAATTGGTAAATGTACTGCGGATCCTGCTGCTTTCCAGGAAGTTGGTGGGGAAGAATTTTTTAGGTGATTCTGAAATTCTATGCTAATGTTACCATTGCATGATCTTGCTATTTTTTCCTTTTTTTGTGTGTGTGATTTGATATGTAATTACTTTTAAGACATAAATTCAGGGAACTCTTGGATGATACAGACTCGAGGGTGGCATATTACTCTTCAGCTTTTCTTCTGAAGGCAAGAATGCTATTTCTCCCTTCTTCCAACAAATTACAATGTACTGAGTATGTGGTGAAATATACCCTGCTAACATATTTAATTTGGTATGTTACAGCGGATGATGACAGAAAAACCTGAAAAGTACCAACACATGCTTCAGAATCTTGTTGTTAGGGCTCAGCAGGTGGGCCTTGTTTTTAATGCATTGCATGCCATCGCACAATTTCATATATGATTCCTGAAAAAGATAATGTCATCTTTTCAGCATAGGATTATTCTATTGTCACACCTTTGATTTTGATATGGTGTTCGAAATATACAAATCCTGACAAAGAAACATTGAAGTATATGAACTTGTTTTCTTTATAGGAGCAATATCATATTGGAAGATTATGTTTAACTAGATAACACAGTTGGGAAGTATGATACTATTAGGCATCCTGATAAGCAACTAATATAGCATTCAACCATTGGATTCCTATTCCTTGTAAGAAGAGCCAGAAACATTCGTTATTATTCTGAAACCAGCCTTTCCTTATCCTGTATAGAGAGATTATTTCTAGTGAATTACTCATCCTTGTATTTGTGTTTGTATTGCTGATTAACATGGTTGGCAAATTTGTAACTGCTAGTAGAGGAGATTGTTACAAGGTAACTTATTGCCTACACATGTGAGAAGTACAGTTAAAAAAGATGTAAATCTTCGTTTATAAATACTTGTAAGAAGAGCTGCATTCCAATTCCTTGTAAACTTATTGTTTTCTTATTGGCCCTCTTTCTACCCTTTAAAAAAAAAAAAAATGCTTTGAAATCTGGGCTGTCTCTCAATTACTTTAATATAGCATTGCTAGTTTTGGGACTGGATAGTCACATCTCACTGCCGTGTTTGCACTGTGCAGAGCAACAATGAAAAGCTGTTGGAAAATCCATATCTTCAGATGCGTGGAATACTGCAGCTGGCGAATGATCTTGGAACTGGGTTGTAATCTGGTGATGCAGATTTATTGATGTTGCCCTTGACTTGTAGAAGAGTGCTTCCAAGCACAGAGCTTCGTCCCACCTCTATGATGCTTATGCTATTCTTCAACTGGGATAAGCTTAATTTTGTAAGCATACATGGAACTCTTCGGAATATGATTTCTGAAGGTACTTAAAGTGGCTAAGAAATGGAGTTGAAGACAAAATTTTGCAGTTCTGACAAAAAATAGTAAAGACAGAGGGTAGTAGATGCATTCACTTTTTGGATAATGCTGGAAAGTCTTTCCTACAGGACACAATGCTCCAACATCAGCAATCAGTGCCTTGTGGTTGTCTTTCTCAGATTATTAGAAAATGCTGAGACAGATTGATATCTACTTCTCAAATCTTCCTCTCCATATTGTACAATTATGTAGTCAATTGTTGGGGGGCGCCTTTGTTTTGTAAAATATATGAAGTTCATGTTCAGCTGAAGGATTATGACTGGGGACTCATAAGAAAAGAAGTTACGAAGAGCGCAAGTCATTCAAGAAATTTTTGGAAATGCTTAATTTTTCTTCTGCCTTTCGTTCTGCCATTGGACTTGCGATTCATGGGCCTAACAAGTAGACATATCACCAGGTACTGCCACCTATCTTCGATGCTAATAAAAGTGGTCCATTTATGTTATCATTGTATTTCCGAACACCAGTTTTCTGCCTTCTATTTTATTGCTGGTATATATATGTAACTGCGTCAATATATGCATGCATTATTATTTATTTGAACTTTTGGCTCTAGTTGGACCCCAATAAATTTGTTTCTATCTAGGTTCAACTTCAATCGGCTGAATTCTTGTTACATGTACGCATGGAAATAATCTGATTATTTTCTGTTTCATAACCATTAATTTTTTTGAACTCATTATTATTGTTATTATTTGTAGCATGATCATGACATTATGCCGGAGTTTTTTTTTTAATATATATTTTTTGTGTGAATGCAGTGCAGTTAATGTGCATTACGATGCCAAGAGACCTTATGGGAAACTTTTGGAAAATATACTGTACAGAATCAAGATTTCCATTTTCCTCAAAGCCTTCATTATGTTTTTGTAATTCCTGAAGGCGATCTTGATGCTGGCGTTTATGAAAGGAATACATGGGTAATAATTTTTTTTCCTTTTTACATTTGTTAACTCATAGAGGTTCCATCAACCCGACAGCAACGAGAAGAGAATCGATCTTTGTATGTCTAGTGGACTGGATACCAAGGTTAGAGGGTAAGATTGGACGCTAGGCCCTCTAATTCCATTATTAGGGGCAGTACTGGGTGTCTGTTTTTTCAGGGCATCCTAAAATGTGCCTGCTATGATTTTTGGATATTCAGGTTTATTTTTGACATTGTAAATATGTGATTTTTTTTTTCCCTTTGTTTCCTTCGACTAATTGTTGATTGTTGTAAAATGGCTGTAGAGAAATTTAGCTTTTTGGCATGGCTGTTGAGAAATTTTGTTTTTCATGTATGACATACAAGCGATTGATTTCTGAGAGAAGTATGATTGGTTTTTATTTATTCCTTCTCTTGAACCTTGCTGAATGATTTCTATATTGGACAATTATGTGTACGCGCGCGTGTGAAGGAGTACACAAACCCAGTGCCATATTTCAATTGCTAATCACGAAAGCAAAAGCTTAGGGGGCCAAGGCCTACATCGCTACACCCCTGCTCTTGGAGAGAAAACCTTCATGCAATGGGAATAATACTTTTTGTTATCCTGGTTAATAATACAATGACACGTAGGATAATATTTTCACATGTTATTGTGTTATTGGCTAGGGATAGCAACACAGTGCTATCCCCATTTCATATAAGTTTTTTGGCTGCTTTTGCACCTAAAATATCTCATCATACGCCACTTGACGTCTTGATGTAATTTAATTTCATCAAATCATGTAAAGAAAATGTAGCATTCCTATTGACCCAAACTGAGTAGAAATGCTTCCAACATAAAATCATTAAGGATGCTTGAAAAATAAACTTATAACAAATGAGTGAACCATAACATAAGCCGATAGAAATGATCAACCATATGATGTTAGTACTTTTCCGACGATCGGAAGCCAGGAAGAAGTATTTTGCTGGCCAACGGCCGAAAAATCTATCAGTGATGTCCATGCATAAACATGTATCTTTTGTTTTCTGTTACTATAACTCTTGGAACTTACTAATGATGTAAGATAGATTCAAAGGATAATACTAGTAAGAAGGTAATGCTCCATATATGTATATTGCCAGTTTGTGACTTAACCCCCTAAACTACCAGTGTGAGCAATTCATATCTGCATAGCTTTTAGGCGGTAGTTCTCCAAGTCGGCGTCCAGATCTTCTGCAGTCACCTTCTCACGAGGCTTCTTCACCTTCCCACTAGGCTTCTTCACCTGTCCACTGCCCCTTGCAAGTCGAAACCCACCAGCACCACGGCCATGAAACAATCCCCTAGCACCAGCTCTTCCTCGGCTACTGCCCAAGAACATGACAAAAAATACGTTGAAAGACTATTGGAATCCCTTTCCCTAATAGTGCTATTTTCGAGGGTAACTAACCAAATGCAGGTCTAAAAGTGCAAAAAATGACAACCGTTTTAACAGAATTCTTCAACAGTATTAGACTGCAGTTTCAAGCATGTGACAGAAGTTGCCCAAAAATTTAGCTTGGCCCAATTGACAGTGATACACAGTATATGAATATAGATTCAAACCCAAAAGAGAGAGAGAAACTATATACCTTTGGAAGACAAAGTTTGGATTTCCCGGAATGCTTCTTGTACTTGGAGGCACAGAAATAGGAGCAACAGGATTCACTCCTACAAGCTCAATTTTCATTGGCTTTCCATCAAGCTGAACATTGTTGTATTTCTCAATTGCTGCAAGAGCATCTGAATGGTGTACAAAGATGACTTCCGCTGTTCCCTAAATATAAGCAAACCTTCTAAGCCACCAAAAGACAATCTATTCTTTTAAACAATCTATTAATGTAAAACTGGAAAGATACCTTTGATCTTCCGCTCCTATCATAATGGACTGTATGTCGTTTCACGTGACCAATCTCAGAGAAGAGCAACTGCCAGGTTGCATTGTAGTTATTAACTTTTCCACTTAATTTCCAACAAGTTGTGGATACATATATAACGTCCAAAGAAGAATAAGTTTAGAACATTAGATGGGTGCTGATGCACCAATTGTCATGTAGAAGTCCTAGCCTAACAACAGTAAGAAAAATTAAGAAACATCCATTGAGGACTGAGCAGCGTCCTATGTATTATTAGCAACTACAGAACCATACCCTATAAACACCATGCATGCACATTTCCATGTATACAAGCAAAAACCAAAGAAATAAAACAAATGAATACAGACTAGTGTTGAAAATCAATGTACTTTGTTTTTCAAATGCTGCCACAAAACACACAAGTTTAATTACCCATCCTAATAACACTAGATTGGAAGAATTCAGTGCATATTCAAAAAAAATCATTAGATACAGGAGGCATGAAATGACACATTCTCAATCTTGGTTCCAGGAGAACTTTTCTTGCTCATTGAGCACTCCACCCCCAATCCTACATAGATTACAAAGACTATCAAAAGACAGACCCCATTTCAAACAAACCCCAGACGGAGATTCAGGGTCACAGTAATATAGTAACCATATATGTATACACCGCACACCTGCAACGCCATCTCAGAATCTGGAAGCCAACCACATAACCATATATACAGCTCTGTTTTCTTCTTCTGTTTTTCGTTTTTTTGGGGTTAAAACTCATGTTTGTCATAGTTGTGCCCTCTTTACCCACATAGAAATTTCACCAAACCCCAACACATTATATGCAAACACAAACAAAGAAAGCATATAACAGAAACGAATTAAAAACTAAAAAGAACAAAAGAACTACCTCAATATCGCTGTTAGAAACATCATAGTCTAAGTTAGATAAGTATAATTTGGTGCCCTCCTCTGTGTCTGTGCCTCCGCTCACTTCCATTTCTTGCTCAACGGTTGTTCTCACCACTTGCATAAGCTACAACCCACATTAAAAACACACAACAAAAACCTCATACATAACAGAGCTAAATACACAGAACCAAATGCTTGTTTGGTTGCTGAGAAAGTGTAGCTTAAAGAATTTACTTGGCGTAGAAAATTTAAACACTCAAAACAAAGCTTAAAAAATTTACTTCCCTGGTTTTCTCTTTCAAAAAATAATTTGCAGTATAAATATAAATATATAGTATTTTATTTATTTTATTTTTCCGTGCTTATTCTCAGCAACAACCAAACAATAGACTAAAAACTCATCAAACTTGAAAATGCAGGAAAAGAGAAACCGTAGCACACCGGTTGAGCAGAGTACGGCGCCGTTCTGACGGTGTTGCGGTTCATGAGCCGACGAGTTGGGCCTGGGCCGTAGCCACGGCCACGGCCTCGGCCTCCGAAATAACCATGATACCCTCCGGGTTTCTTCCTTTTCGCAATGAGCTCGTCAAGTGACATGTCCAGACCCCGGGGCATTTTCGGTAAACGCTGAGAGCTGAGGTTTCGCGAGGACAGTGACAGTACGGACAGTGAAGGGGTTTTGCTTTTGCAAAGCTCGCTCAGTCACTGAAAGAGAGGTTTAATGGGTGCAGAAAATGTATATGGCCAGCCAAAGGCGGTTAACAATTGTTGTCTTCAGAGGCACGCATGATTCGTGAAACGCAGCCAGAAATGGGACACGTGTCGATCACAAGCAAAAAGCGGCCATTATTAATTTTTTTTTGGTAATGGCTATTATTTGTAATACAAATTTATAAATAAACTCAATTCTAAACATGTATTTATAAAAAAATCAAAATATTATTTAAACATAGAAATACACCCAAAATCAATTCCAAAATCAACAATTATATATTTTTTGGGTGTATTTATAAATAGGTTTTGAGTGTATGTAATGATGGATTTTGAGTATGTTTATAAAGTGTTTTGGGTATTGGGATTTTTTATAATTTCAGCTCCCATTTTGAGTGTTTTACTGAAACTCTTGTTTGTAAATAGTAGCAGTAGAAGGACCATTTTCAGATCAGGTCACACTGCACTATACTGAGCCTGATTTAGGGTTTTAGAGAGGGCTTTTCCCAAAAATCTCCACTTTGATTCTTGTCGTTGGAGATCCAGAAATGCAGAGAACGATAACGATTTTGCGTGGGCCTCTGGTCAGAGACCGAGGGTTTTCCACGAGCTCGTCTTCTTCCGAGAAAATTGTCGCGTCCGTACTGTTCGAGAGGTTGCCTGTTATCATTCCCAAAATCGACCCCGTCGTTTATGCATATCAGGAGTTCGCGTAAGTTCGCTCTTTAAGCCCTCTCTGTTTTTCTTCCTCGTTTTCTTTCTGTTTGGTTGCTCAGAAAATGCAGGAAAAATGAACTTAGACGTAGATGGGAAACTAGGGCAGGGCTTTGTTGCAGAGGAAGTTGTGGGAAAGAAATGAGAGAAAAAAACTGAAAGTTTAGTTATGTTTTATGTTAGAAACTATATGGTCTAAGCGGATTTGAGATGGACTGAGCTCAGGTTTACGTTTTGGAAAGATGGGACTAAACATTGTTATGATCACTCGTAAATAAGTTTAATTCTTTCAATTCCTCTGCTTGAGACTCTGGGCAAGTGACTGATGACGGCCATTTTAGTTTTTTGGTTAGATGACTGCTTTTTGAAAGCAAAAAGAAAAAACAGAGTTTTTTGGCGTGCTATGGTCATAGTTGCTGACAAGAGTACCTAAATTTGCAAAATTTTGGTTGAACTAAATAATTATGTGGATTTGTGTTGAGTAGCTCATGTTGGCATATTTCCCCCCTTGGATTTTAGGTTTCGGTGGCGACAGCAATATCGGCGCATATATCCAGATGAGCTTTTAGATAAGTCTAATGCTAGGTAAGGTTTGTTTTAAAGCTTAACTGGTTCATCTGAGTTTATGTTGTTATATACTTAATCACAACTTCATCAAATGTTCACATTAATGGAAACAAATATAATGTTGGTGCTTCTTTTGACTTCTACTGTAGGAATCACATAATGGCCCTTCACTTCTGTTCTATTCACTAAATTTAAAACGTAGGATGCATTCACCACTAAAGTTTACTCCTGAGTATATTTGCCAATTTATCTAAATATCTCAATCTCAGATCTGTGTGTTGATTGGAATGTCCCTAGATTTCCATAGTTTATTGAGACATGTTCTGTCCATTGTTATGTCAAACTATTTTATCAATTTCAATGGCTCCAACTCCTTGAGTAATTTGTTCATAGTTAAATGTTTTTTTAGATGTTGATATGCATTCTTTAAACATAGTGGACTCTGTTTTATTTCTTTCAACAATGAAAGTCATGCAAGCATCCTTCTGGACTCAGTTTTATGTGTTTTAGAGTTCTGAAAAGGGATGATGTTGATATTAGTATGAGGAAAGATGAGGTTTAGTACATGTTCGGAGAGGTACATCAATACAAGAATAATTGTAATGAATTAAGGCATGATAAAGAACAGAAAACTTTATATTCTGATTGGCATTGATTAGTCTACAAAACCACCATTACAAAAGCACAGCCTATTTCATTCATTTTGTTCAAATTTTTTAGGCAAAGTTAAGTTTATATGCATTTTTTTTCGTCTTTTGTATAAGCCTTGCTCACGCTTGCTGCTCAGAAGACAATTGCAAATAAAAGTTATCACTCTAGCATGACACTTTCTTTTGGTGAACAGGGGAAAGGGTGACTACCATATTGATTATGTACCTGCTCCACGGATCACTGAAGCTGACAAAATGAATGATAGAAAGTATGGAATCTAATTCTGATGATGGTTATATAAGAATCCTGCTCTTCTTCTTACTTAAAAGAAAAAAAATCGTTCAATTTTATTTCAAGTTAAGAAGTACGTGAAATTTTCTTATTGCTTAGAAAGTTGTGGGATTCATTGTTCATATTATTTTAAAACCATTTCTACATCCTCTTGGAAGTTAGAAGACAGATAATTGTCCTTTACTGCTAGTGGTTGGACATTTGACTGATTTTTATTGATTGTTTGGTTTGGTCAATACCTAATTGCCTGTTCTTTCTAGCTTTCTTTCTTGATGCCCGGCTGTTCTTCCTTTTTGGATTAATAAAATACGACTTTATTTAGGTTTAAATGAAGGAACTTCAAGATCCCATGTATGCTTGTGACTTGGAGTTATCAGATCGATTAGATATTTCTGGTAGTAGCTAGTTAAACTTCTTTTGCTGAGAGAAAAGAAGAAAAAATTAACAACTCATTAGGTCCTTAACATAATAACCGTATGTGGACTGATTTTGAAACTGACATTTTTTTGAGAAATACCTGTCCTATATGTGAGAAGCACAAAAAATAAGGTCTGGAATGTTAAAAGTTGATTTTCTTGTTCTTTAGGTCATTGCAAAGAGCACTTGACAGAAGATTATATCTTCTTCTCTATGGAAACACGGATAGATCTGCTGGGAAGTCAGTCTGGCATTTTCCAGAAAAATTTTACCAGTCTGAAGAGACATTGCGGAAGGTGATGGTTGCTATATGATGTTGTACACTTCTCTCTCCTTAAATCCTGTTTTTTTTTTTTTCTTTTCCTCGGTCACATTAATCCCATGTATTTTCAGTGCTCGGTCTCATTAATCCCATGTATTTCAGTGTGCAGAATCTGCATTAAAATCTATCTTGGGAGATCTGTCACACACATATTTTGTTGGAAATGCCCCCATGGGCCATATGGCTACACAGTCAACAGAGGATGTGCCAGACTCTCCATATGTTAAGGTATGCTTTTGTAAATCGTTTTTTTTTTTGGTCTTCCACTGGCTTCAGCCGATAAATATCAAAATACAAATTTATAAATAAACCCAATCTTAGACATGTATTTATAAAAAAACCTAAGCACTATTTAAACATAGAAACACACCCAAAATCAACTCCAAAATCAACAATTGTATATTTTTTGGGTGTTTATAAATGGGTTTTGAGTGTGTGTAATGATGGGTTTTGGGTGTGTTTATAAAGTGTTTTGGGTGTTGGGTTTTTTTATAATTTCAGCCTCCATTTTGGGTGTTTTAGTGAAACCCCCATATCAAAATGTATATTGGTGCTCCCTATGATTCCTACTATCAAATATTGAAGATTGATCACAATTTGACATTTGGTTTCCCCTTTTCAGCAATTCTTTTTCAAGTCTCAAGTGATTGCAACCAACAAGTTCAACATTAAGAAGTGTGAGGATTTTGTTTGGGTGACCAAGGATGAACTACTGGAGTATTTGCCTGAGAAAGCTGAGTTCCTTAATAAGATGATCATCAGCTGATCCAACACACATTTTGTTCTTGCATAAAGTTTTTGCAATTCAGTTGAAGCATAAGTACCAAGTGTTGGTTGAAGAGTTGAAGCTAGCACAGAAAATCTTAGGCTGTAGGTGCCAAAATTGATATTTTCTGTATGTTCGTTCATGCTTTTGGTGGCTAAAGCTAGGCTCAGCACTTGAATTTATGGATAGTTTCACAATTGCATCGAAGCTATTCATATCTGCACAATATTTTATAAAGAAACTTGAGTGAAATATTTATTTATGAACACGACCCATATAAGAGAAGGTGTGCCTTTTCGAATGATGGGAGATTTCCTAAAACTAAAGTTGTTTATGGAAAAAGGGAAAAAAAACACTACAGACGGAGCTGGAAGGGAAAAAGGGTTTTAATATGACCATTTTTAGCGGCGGTTTTACAAACCGTAGACGTAAACATTACTTACGACGGTTGGCGACGGTAAAAAGCGTCGCTAATTGCTTCTCCCAGTTTGAGTACCTTATTTTCGTCACGATAGCTGAGAAATTCATCGCCTAAGATAAAAACCCGCCGCCAATGGTTAAAAGTCGTCATTTAAAGCACTACATGGCTACTTTATGCCGATTTAAGCGTTTGCCCTTCTGTTTTCCGGTAGGCATTTACTTTCCTTCCTCCATTATACTGCAGGAAATTTAGTAAACCAAGAGAGAAATGTGCATTGGCATTCTCTTATGAGTTTCAACAATCAACTTAGCAAAAATCTCAAAGATTTAAGGCGGTAGAGCAATTGGGTTCTTGGTTCACGATTATATGTACATTTTCTATCTCTTGTACGTTCATTATGCAAAAATGTGTATATCCAACCATACTTGATATCAGATTGCCTTGGGTGTCCTTCGTCATGTAAGGCTTGAAAAACCCATCTAGGTGACCGAATTAGGATACTGGTTCCCGACCCACATCAGGCTTGAAAAACTAAGAGCTAAAGGGGTTCAGCTTTTTGTTCTTTCTACTCCGAATTAGGATAGTTTTAGATTTATCAAAATCAGATGGTTTGCTTGTTGCCCCACAAGGCCTAGAAAATTCGCAACTTGAATCTGTAATAAAAACATGCTTCTTGTTATTCTTGTCTCCTAGCCATCTGCAAACCAGGAAGCTCTCCATGTTAAATCAAAAACCAGTATAAAAAGGATGTTTTA